AAGGGCCAATATGAGGAAGAAGCGTCTCCGCTTGAGTACTGGCTCGGTGTGATGATCCACATATATACACGGCAAGGGAAATGGGGCCTCTGTACGTATGGCTCAGGCAGCAGCAGCAGCAGCAGCTGTAGCCGAATCCACAAGAGAAGCCACAGAAGAAAGATCTCTACGCTCGTCCCGCACTCAGTCGGCAATGTTGTTTAATGTTTGTGTCCCTTTCTGTTTGATCCTCTTCCTTCTCCCTTCTTTAAGCACACTGTCTGGGTCAACCCGCTAGGCGTACGGCTTCATTCTTCGTGGTGGGCGCGCCCTGCCGCTGCGCGTAATATAAAAAAGCACAACTCCTTGATGAAAGGGATTTAAAAAAAAAACATCGACTTTTTGTTGTCGCACATAGAAAACGTTTTCAATCTTGATTGTTGTTTTTCCTCCTTGTTTATTCTCTTAAAGGAGGTTTTGCTCTTTCCTTTGTATTCAGCCAATGTGCACAGTGTTGTATACGCATTACGTGTGGGCGTATACAACATGTGCACGAGCTATGTGAGCCACTGTGTATGTGTATTGCTTACTGTCGCACTCCTAATTGATTTCCGGTAGTGCTTTCCCCCTTATCGCTTGGACATCCTACCGCTCATATGCACGCGATCTCTCTCTCTCTCTCTCTTTGTCTTCATAAGTAACTGCACAGCACACATACATGCACACACAGAGCCACAGATATACACACACATATATATATATGTAGGGAGACAAAAGAAGAATGAGGAGCTTTTCAATCTGTTTATTCTGTTGCCATCATTTCGTTCTGTATTTATATTCACGTTTTGGTTTTCTTATTAGTTTTGTGAATGCTGTAGCGCACCGTACGGATTCCAGCGGTACTTCTGGTTTGACTCCTTGTACACGCGCAGCACCGACTTGGTGGTGGAGGAGGGAGTCATGCACACCTCCCTTGGGCTGTTCAGCTGCACGTCATTCGCCGAGTATCCGCTGCGTTCGTTCCCGTCGCGTGCTTGTGGGGATGTGTGTCGCTCACTGTCTACGTTGGCGTTACTGTCACGGGTATCGGACGGGCGTGCGGTGCGTGCATTGTACCACGTTGACTTCGCACCGTCGGAGAGCGGCAAGCGCACCAGCGGCGGCGGCGTCACCCCACGCCTCGAACGCTCCGCACTCGGGGTGTGGTTACTGTTGCGCGAGAGGGCGGGGCTGTCAATGTTGCTGACAAGGACGCCGGTGTCCTCGTTGGGGGCGCACGTGTGATTCAGCACGGGGACAGTGGCGGCAGAATATGGCACGGGCCCCACCTGCACCAGCAGCGGCGATGGGTAGCTGTTCGGGGATCCAGTCGACATCGGGAAGGGACTCGTGGAGAGGGGCATAGCAGCAGCGTAGTGCACCGACGACGGCGACTGTGAGGGCTGCTGCGGTGACTGCTGGTTCCACGAGGGCTGCCGCCAGGATGGTCCCAGCAGTGGGGTGGTGATGTTGCCTGAGTTGTTGCGCATGCCCCACCCAAAGTTTCCTAGTGGGTTCTCCCATTCCATTGGGGCGGTATCGAAGTATTGCTGATGCTGCTGTTGCTGCTGTTGCTGCTGGTACGGGAAATCCCAGAAGCCATTGCGGCTCGCATAACCGGCGTTGGTCCCATAGTACATATTATGGCTGACGGTGCTGTTGCTGTACGAGCTGGGGGCACGCTCGATCTCGCCTGTACCCCAACCTTCTACGAGCTGTGAGATCACCAGCGACTGATCATCCCTAAACTCGGTAGCTGTATTGATCATGGGACCCATGTTATTCATGTTGTGTGGCGATAACCTGTTTGGTGCACCCTGCATCCGTTTCCCAAACATGGGCAAATCGGGGGGAACCTGTCTTATGTTGTTGGCTGGCTGGCGGCCACCGGCTCCGTTCATATAGTTCAGCTGCTGTGGCGATAGCGCCTCTGGACGATCTTCCATGGTGCCGCTGCTGTTCGGCCTTCTGGTTTTGCCGTTGTTAACCGGTCCATCCGCATGTTGCGGCGTTGAAATGGAAGCGATACTCATTTTTCTTACAGTGGACCGTGATGCAGCGGCGCTACTGGCTGACGTTGCCTCCGTCTCCTTGACAGGCTCCGCTGGCGCACCGCCACCACCGCTGCCTCGCATTGCAATGCTGTGAAAGTAAGAGTAGCCATCGTGTTCAATATGCCACGGTCGAAAACGCGTGGTACACACAATGGGAGCTTTCGCCTCGCTCTGCACCATGTTTTCACCTTCATTTACGTTCTTAGCCAATGTGCAGTTCGGCTGCGGAAAACGCAGCCATCGGATATCCATATCCTTCGCTTCACGCGCCTTGCCGGCAATTCGCCGCATCCACGACAGCGCCACATCCTCCGCCCGCAACGAGCGATCCACTTGCCAGCAACGGTTCACTGGGTCACATCGAATCAAGTCACCGAAAGCCACGTGGATGTTTGGTACCTTCAATGGAGTGGAAAACATCCAGTTCTTGGGCGGGCGGCCTGTAGATAAGCGCCGCACGCTCGGCTGCATTCCCTCTTCTCCAAGCGATGCGGGCGGTTCGGGAGCGATGAGAGATGAAAACGGAGCCCCATCAAAGTCGCGGCCTACAGTAAATACGTCCTGCGCCTGCAGCTGCGTCCATGACAACAGCAAGGTCTCAGAGGTTGACGGTAGGCTTCTTGGCACAATATCAGCCATTGTTCGAGTCCGACTTTTATCATGGCTGGCTAGACGCAATTCGCCGCGGTAGACCAACGGTGGCGGCACCCGTGAGGTGAGCGCCATCATCAGGCTTTCTGTGGTGTCTTCAATGGGAACACACCACAACTTCTGCAGCGCCTCCACGACCTTTGAGTTGGTGAGGCGTAGCACCACAGCGCCATCTGCAAAGTAGCTGCAGATGCCCCTCTGCTGAAGCGCTACCAGAGGCGGTGGGGTTAATGCGTTGGGCTCTGAGCTATATTCACAGGAAGCCCCGCTCACGTGTGGTTGATTAGAATCTCCCCCTGTTGACTCCATTGATGTTCCATAAATGGTATACCCTGCGCCGGTTGCGTATGCGGCTTCTAACGCAGGGCCGTAGTCTATCGGCCTTAAGGGCTGTGACTCACCGAACTCCACAGAAGCTGGCTTGCTGTTTCGCTGTCGCTGCAAAAACTGTAATTTGCTTAACGTAGGAGGATCAGGCGTTAATGTCTCTAGTGTATCCATGAAGAGATGCACTTGTCGGCACAGCTGCAGCTGTGGTATATTTGATACCGCTTGGATGAAAGCGAGGTCAAGGCACCGCAGCAGAGACAGAGGATGGAGTTGAAGACACTGCCCTTCGCCTCCCGCATGAAGCACCTGCTTCTGCTCCTGCTGCTGTTGCTGCTCGTTGGTTTGGAGGGGGGCGCAGGACTCCGTCATGGTATTCGCGAATGCACGGCAGGCAGCCATCCATGCATGCGGCTGTTCACGCTCACCAACGTCACGCTCGACGCAGCCCGTAACCACAAGGCTCTCACTGCTGAGAGCGAAGGGGCCAGCGGGCGAGCATGGTGGCGACGATGGCACAGCTGGTGTTGCTCCGTCGCCCCGAATGCCGACCAGCTCATTCAACGTCCAGCATCCGTAGAAGCCACCCACACAGGCAGCTATCTGGGATCCATTCACCTCCCACACAAGCCACGACTTGTCCTCCTCCTGCAGCACTGACGCCGCCGCCACGGCCTCCGCCAGGCCGAGCGAAGTGATACTGTGCTCCCGCATGTTCACTGCAGAGCTGTTCTGGCGCAGCAGCACGACAGCGCATGGCACGGGGCGAACACGGCGAGACTTGGCGCTGCCGCCACTGCTCTCAATGTCACCGTCACCGTCCTTCACGCCCGCCCGCACAGCTGCGCTGAGCGCCTCCTCGTCGTCAAATATATTCTGCTCTGTTGTATCCACCAGCAGTTTGTATAGTGCTTCCGCCGAGGCAAACGGGGCCGCGATCGCTGGGGAGGCCTCCATGTAGGACTCTGTCCCCACAATCTCCCGTTTCTCGTCACCCAGCAGTTCCAAGTCGAAGTAGCACGCCGTAGGATCAATATACGCTGTGGGCTCCATGAACTGGGTGCAGTGGAAGTGGTACCGCGGATGCTGACGTTCCCGTGCAGCCATCAACTGCTGGAACAATACACTATCGGGGGAGGGGAAGTACCGTTTTATGAGCGGCACCAGGCGCAGCTGGTAGGACGTGAGAGATGGAGGGCACCGCTTGGGTGAGCCCATGTTACCTCCCTTCCAGCCTACGGGTGCCCCGCCGTCAGCACACCGTTGTTGTTGTTGTTGTTGCTGTTGCTGTTGCTGCCGTAAATGCACCTCAACAGAGGCGCTGACAAGCCATAGCGGGGCATCGCCATCTGCGTATAGCAGCCGCCTCGAGGGAGCCAACCCCATTGGTTACAGTAGCAGCAGAAAGCTAGGAGGTGAGGAAAGGGAGAAAAAAATAAATTGGACAGTGACG